TCCCAAGGGAGCCCAAGGGACTCCAAGATATCCCAAGGGAGCCCAAGAGACTCCGAGAGACCCCAGGGTCTCCAAAGGTCTCCAAAGGACTCCATGAGGCTCCATAGGACTGGAGTCTGCTGTTTCTCCTTTGTCATCTGTACTTAATAAGCCTTTTTGAAAGACCGTGTAGTTTTCATTTGTAAATCGATTACATCTGTTGGTTGAAACTGATGGAAGCTGCGAAAATCATCAGATCTCTTCCGAGGAGAAGTAATTTACGATATACGTGAAATTCAAATAGAGAGAAACTTCGTATGAGTCATGCAATACATATCGGTAAGTTTTCCAACATTATCCACGTGCTGCTTTTAAAAATAAGCTATTATATATCAACGAGAACTAAAAATTTCAACATTATTAACCAACCTGAATTCACCTTTCTAAGGGGAATCGTACCAGACGAGCTTCCGCTGCCCATTTTGACTTGTGCGTAGTTACAATTGTCAACGCTGAAAGAAAAGAACGAAAATGTATTCGAAACCTCGTCGAAACGCCAACAACAGGACAAGTGTAAACAAAAGAAAAAAAATCAGGCCACCGAACAATGCGGTGACGACTGAACAGAATGTAGTAGAAGACGAATCAACATAAGAGGTGAGACAAATGTTTTACTGCATTTTTTTGCTTTACAAATATTCTGAGGCAAGAAACAATACATGACTTTGTGTTTGCCATCAAAATATGCAGTATTGGATTCTCTCAGAACAAGGGTGACCAAACAAAGTGTACGGGAATGATCTGCCTAACATAGGAAAATTTTTCGTTTTGTCCAGTCAATCTGGTCGAAAAGTTTTCTTTCTGTTCGATTGCATGGCAACCACTACAGCATATCCTTGGCAATCTCCCCAAAAAGTCGACGATTCTCGTCAGCCGTGGATTCTCTACAAACTTCGATTATCTTAATGAAATAAGAATATAAATGACAATTTTTGTAGATTGCATACTATGATCCACCGAATAGTGTCTGATTCCTACCCGTTTTTTCTATTTTTCAGTGTTGTCTAAAATATTAGCAAGCGTGCAAGAGAGAGTGCACTTTCCATTGATACCTTCATCAATTGCTCTTTGATAAGCATGATTATGACGTTTTATACACGATGTTTCTTTCAGAGGGCACTTTGAAATTCTAAGCGGATAACTGCATACTTTCGAGAGCCAACACGTACTTCACAGTGTGATAATCACGAAGCTCGAGGAGGGACGAACTCGATGTCTGGAGACACGCGCTCTGAAAAAAGTGCATGAAAATGTAAAATGTAGTTCTCTTCATTTACAGCCTGTAACGCAGATCTGCTTGTCT